TACCGGGAACCGAACTCACGACCTTGCGCTTGCCAGGCAGGCACTTTGCCGCTGAGCTAAATCCCCAGCCCCAGAAGTTGTTTTTTTTCAGGATCTGAAATACTTCACACCAAACTCTTCTTGACTTGATGGTTTGTGTTGAGAAATCTGTAATGATTGTGATGGGCTTTCCTTTATAAGTGTTGTATTTCTTTACTCTAACAGCTTTTAATATTCTCTTCTTTTGCTGAATTTCTGGGATCTAGATTATTGTATGTCTGGGTGTAGATTTATTTTGGTTATGGCTAATTGGAATTCTGTATGCCTCCTTTTTCTGTATGTCAGATTCTTTTGCCATTTTCTGCTATTTTTCCATTTTCTGAAATATTTTTTTTCCATTTTCTGAAATTTTCTGCTATTACTTCTGGCAGATAGCCTTTTTAAGTCATTTGTGTTGACTCCTGCTGTTGCATTGACACCTATTAATCTTACATTGTTTTTTTTTGGCATCATCTTGCAGCTGTTGAATTGTTATTTCCTGGTTCCTTGTTATTTTTAAGAGATCCTTTGTTTCACAATCATTAGTTGCAATGCTGTCTTCAAGGTCTGAAAGTCTATCTTCAGCTTCATTCAAGGGGTTTTGCCAGCTTTTGATGGAATTTTTAATTTCCAGATATCTGTTTGAATCTAGTTCATGCATTCTAATTCTTTCCTATATTGTTCCTTCAAGGTGTCCATTATTTTTCTGTGCTCCTCTATTTTTTATCTATGTCTTCTTTAGATGTGCTGAGCAATTCTTTTGTTATTGTTGTCATTTCTTTTTTTACCTGAGAGATTATTTCTGATCTGATGTCTTCTATGGGCTGATGGAATTTCTTTACTTCAGTTGCTATCATTTCAGAAATTTCAAGTGTATGATTTCCAAGCTTTTCTGTGTCAGTGTCTCCTGGACTTGTTTCGGGTGGGGAGATCTAAGATTGTATTTTGTTCCTTTGTTTTGTCATCTTTGAAGATCTGGAGGTTCCCTGGAGCTCAGCCTCACTCCCACAATAGTGTGGGAGTGGAAGGGCAAGTACCCAAAGGTACTGGTGATCAGCGTGGCTCCTGTGAGGGGGTGTGGAGGCAGGGTGTGGTTGCCGATGCTCCCAAAGCTTTCTGGGGCTCAGTTGGCTCCCATGCCAGTACAGGAGGGTTGGTGTGTGGTTGCAGAGGCTCCTGAAGCTTTACAGGGTTTAGCTTGGCTCCCATGAGGGTGTGTGTAGGGCGGGGTGTGGTGACTGGTGACTGAACCTCCCAAAGCTGTTCAGGACTTAGCCTGTCTCCTATGATGGGGGGGCACAGGGCATGGTCACTGAGGCTCCCTAAGCTGTCAGGGGTCCAGCCATTGCTCCCATGTCAGTGGGGGAGAGACAGGGGCAGCTCACCGAGGTTTCTGAAGTGGTCCAGTGCTCAGCTTGGCCCCTGTGAGTGTGTGGGGCAGTGGGGTATGGTCACTGAGGCTCCCAAAGCTGTCTAGGGCTCAACCTGGCCCTCGTGCCTGTGGGGGAGGGGTGGGAGTGGCTCACCGAGGTTTCTGAAGCTGTCCAGGGTTCAGCTCCTGAGGGTCTACCTATGTTTTTTCTTTTTTTTTTTTTTTTTATCACATCTTATTCATTATTCATTAAGTCTTTATTGTTTGCTCTATAGTACATACTTGTCAGGCATTGAGCATTCAGGAATAGCTAAATCAGACCCTGTCCTCAAGAAGCTAATAGACTGGGAATCAAAGAAATAACCAGACAAACTTGTGGCTGTCTGATTGCAATTAAAATACAATACCTGGCACAGTAAGTGTGTAAACAGGGTCTCTACCAGGAAGAATCAGGAAAAGTTGGGAATTAGCATTTTAGAATGAAAATGAGCTTACTGAGATGGAGAGGCAGGGAGAAATAGAGAAAGTTAAGAGATTCAACAGCTCTTTTCCCCCTAAATCTAAACATGAGAAATGGTACTGATGAGGGAAAATGCTGAATTGGATGAATAGTGGGATATTCCCTCTCCATGCCCTTCACTAGTGTTCCTGTGTTTCTCAGTGGCTCAGAGGAGCAGACAGCCAGACACAACTGTCCGTGTTTCCAGAGGTTCATTAGATTCAGAGGAAAATATTTACATATCTCATCTGCCACATGAACCCAAAACTTACAGACTGCACTTCACTGCCAAGTTGAGGCCTGTGTTTTACACAGCCATATAGCTTAGATGTAGCATAGTATTATTGGAATTTGAGACAGATTCCAAACCTTTTCTACTGAGAGTTTACTATATTAATAGGCCTTCAAAAAATTCTTTGGCTGAGTGCCATAGAAATATGAAACTATCCCTAGAGCCCCAAATAGCCTACCTCTGTGTTATCTGTCAAGCTGTCTTTGGAGCCAGATAACCCTCATGAGAGATCTGGCTCTGCTCCACAGTAGTAGATACCCTCTTTGCAGGAAGTTATTTAACTTCTTGGAACCCTGGTTTCTCTCTTAATAAAATGCAGGAGCTTACCTGATGGGATTGATAGGAAGTTGAGAATTAATTAAATAATGCAATACAACAAAGGACAGAATTCATAGCATGTAATTACTAAGTAGAAGGAGCTTAGTTTAGTGATGCTGCGTTTATTATTAAAGGCAAACTAACCCCCACCTGGTTCTTCTTTGGGCTGAAAGGATGTTTTAGTGGATGCCTAGTTATCAGCATCAATGAAATGAAGCAGCACTGACAGAGGTGGGGAATCAGAGCATAATCCCTTTTTCTTTCTGTTCATTGTCCATGCATGTTTTATTTAATGTTGCTGAAATACTTTTAAAAACATCCTATCTCATGTGGTTGTAGGAAAGCCAAAATAAACAATGGAGATGTTTGACATGTTGTCCTCAACTCTTTTGTTTGAGTTGAATGCTGCTTTGTTTAATTAGCTGAGGATGCAATAGTTTCTTCACTGTATATTTATCAAGTTCTATATTTGAGTTGACAGTCTTGCTTGTAACACTTCAAGTAAAATCATGCTTTTTAGTCCTGACAGACATCCATTTTTACTTTTTATATGTATTGCTAATCCTGGAGGGCTATTTAGTATATGTGTTTATTGAGATGAAACCATTCTGTGTTTAGTTTGGGGTTGTTAGTTAGAACCGTAGTTAAGCTGTGACATTATAATGGGATAAGTGGTAATAATCAATTGTCATCATTCTGGTTTTATGGCTGACCTGAGCTTAATATCACAGACATGTCTTGATTAACTTACTGCTGAAAAGATTCTTTCTTTATGGGACTAGAGTGACCATTTACGTGTTTATAAGGAGTTCTAGAAGTAGAGATAAAAATCTGTCCAGAAAACCATCACTCCCTTTTTTGTTTTTACAACTAAGACTGTCATCCTCTGGGTGAAAAAAGAACTGAGACGTGTCATGTACATGTACCGACTCCCCACTGTGAGTATAATCCTTGGGTACTGCGTATGTGTACTAATAAAGAAGAGTCATATCTCCTCTTAAATACAAAGAAAAAAAAAGGGTTCATTCTGTGATGTGCTTCTGTCATATCTGTGCTTTCTTCTCGTCTATCCATCTAGGAAGAATGTTGGTGAAAAGCACAGAAACCAGTGACTTTTCTGGCTGCGGGGTTTCCATGGAGAAAACCGAGCAGTGGGACCCACTGTCCCATCTTCTTCTGTTCATGGCACGCCCTCCAAGTCCCGAGCATGCGTGGTGAGACCAGTGAAGATGCACCCGGGGTGCTTTGAGCCGCCCTGGAGGGGCACGGGAAGGATGGGAGAGAACATGGAGCAAACGTTTCACAAACTGAACCTCAGAACTGTGATCCTCTAAGGAAAGCGCTACTTGAAGAAGAGTCGAATGGCTTCTCAGGGATTTTGTTTTCTGTGCACACATAAGCCATAGTTACAGTACAGGTGGCAGTATTTAGGGCACTTCGGTTTCAGTTCTGTTCAATGTGAAAGAGGGATCGACCGACGTTCATTGCTGTTCCGTAACTAGTGTAAGATATGTATATGTTTATCTTTATTTTTATAATATGCAAATACCTTTAAATTTATACAGTTTGAAGCTTCTAGCATCAGTTAACACTGGGTGCAATATTTTGCATGAGAACTGTGCCAAGATGGGGCTGATTCCTTATTTTAGACATTTTTGTTCTTTCTTTATTCTTTAATATTCCTTTTGAGTTTAAAAAGAAAAAATGAGATAACTGTCAGCCCATGGACTTAATGTTGATTCACAGAGGTTGCCAGTAATGAACAAGATCTTTCTCCATGTGCTTCAGACCCATCTCTTCATTAATGTCCTTGCCTGTAGGTTAGTGGGTTGATGGCAGGATTATTCCTGTTTTCTCCCCACCTATAATTAGTGCAGGGCAAAGGTGGGGTACTTTTGGGGGCCAAAGAGGACAAAAAGTCCACAAAAAACCTGAGTCTTTCAATAATTTAGATAATCAAGAGTCAATTCTGAATCATGCTGGCTTCTCTGCTAATACACATCTTGCTTTTCTAGAACAGGGTCTACAGTCTAGCAGAATGCTTTGTGAACCCTCCACACCTGGCTGTGGGACCTTCAGGTAGAAAGCTGCCTAGTTGAGGAGCCCAATCCTACACTGGCCATTTATTCATACAGAATCTCTTATTATGCACTTTACCATCCAGACCTGGTAAAACGCTGGTTTTGAAATCCTTAGGAGGTAAAACTTAAAAAGCAAACCCAACAAATTGCTCTTCAGTCTCCTGCTTGGGGCTAAACAGCATCTGCTATAGAAGTAACACATTCTTTGAAGAATGCGAAGACTCTGTTTACATCTGCCTCCTCCCCATGCAGATAGTGTGTAAAACTAACCTTCTCTCACCAGTGTCACACAATAAAAGTGACTCTGCTGGTATTACTCTTTCCCTTCATTTATAAAGTATTGACTCTTGGAATGCCACAAGACACAAAGTCTCCATATACTTCAAAAAGAATATAAGTGGCTGCATTTTGAGAAATCTCAGTTGATTTTAATAGCAAACTTTGTGCCCCAGGAGTTAATTTCACCTACTCCAGAGCCCCAGTTACACAAGTATGATTTCCTGTGATCATACAATCAAGTAGGATTAGACTATTTTTCTATTTTTAATACTTGAATATGACAGCTCAAGTTTGAGATTTTATTTTCCTTTTAGAACACAGTCACAAGATTCATCTGGTTAATCCTTTGGTCACAGTTCTCGTGTGTGTATATGTGTGTTTGTGTGTGTGTGTATAGGTGTAAATGTAAACTGAATGTTAACATTTAATTGCTTTATGGACCACTGAATTGTTAGGCAGTAAGAATTTTTTAATTGGTATGAGAAGGTTCCTTACATCAGCCAGTTCTGACCAGTCTGTGGATAAAGGCATTCAAGTGTGTGACTTTGGGCTCCCTCCCCAGAAGGCCATGTTAAATGAAATGCTGCCCCTTTGGGTGGTACAGCCTGCAAAGTGTTTGCTATTTTCATGAACATCAATGCTCACGTTCTTAGTATGTGCTGTTTTTTCATACATGATGTTTTATGTTGTCATCTGAACCCTGGAGAAGCAATGTAAGAGCTAAGCTTGGTGTCAAGTATGTTTTGGCCTAAGAGCTGGTGTGATAGAGGGTCCTGTGACCACAGTAAGCTCCGGAACAGCCTGAGAACTTGCTTCAGCATGGGGAGAGGGTGGAGATACAGAAACACTCTGCTCTGCGGGAGTTTTTGCCATCTATGTAGAAAATTCCATTTTCTCTTTCAACACCCTGAAAGACTCAACAACCAGCCGAGGCTAACAAGCAATTCACTAAGCACAAGAGGAATTTTTGTCCAACCAAGGAGTCCCTGGCCTCTCAAACAAATGCCCTCCAAGTTTGTTATGGTTTCTATTCCTGCAACTTGTGGTATCAAAGCCACTTCCTGGAATTGTCAAAGTGCTGCCAGAATAAATGTTTTCCCCCTTCTAAGAAAAAAAGAAAAATGACAGTGCTCATATTTGATGCTTGTGTATTGGACTCTGTTTAGAATGAGTAAGGAGGAAAGGGACCGATGTGATTCCTGACGGCATGTGTTGTTTTTCTGCCACAATCTGTGAATTGTAATTGTAGTTTCCAAGTTTGTTGTAACCAGACAGACATTTTTTTAAAAAAGAAAAAATTCAATAAAAATACAAAGAAATGGCTAAGCAATAATACTCCTAGAGTTTAGTTATTTCTGGTTTTGTTTTTAGTTTCAGTTTTACCAGTTCAGGAGTAACTATTTTATATCTGTAGTTCTTAAGTTTGAGATAGGGGTGGTGGGGTCTGCTCTCATCTGTTTGGGGGTTAAGTCCCCAACGTGCAGACTCAAGAGTTCTAGTTTTAAACTCTGCTGTGGAACACTAGGGCTGCCTCTTGGGGCTGGGGGTCGAGCCCAGGGTCTTTAACATGCTGAGAAAGTGCTGTGCCTATGAGCTATATCTCCAGCCCAACACAGGCTCTGTCTCTAAATCAGACCCCTTTTTTCAGTGAGCCACTGTGTTCCTGAAGCAAAGCCTATGAAGTTATGATAGGTCTAGCAGTTCCCTTTCCCGATCTGTTTTCTAAGGGCTCTTGGCAGGACTCCCGCCACAGCCTTGGAGTTACTATCCCAGAGCCCACTGGTAGGGAGGGACCTGCTCAAAAGTTCTATTCCTCCTGGTTTTCAAAAAATGCCAGCTAAGAAAATGTGGAGAGGAAAAGACTGAAACTGCTTCTTGAGAGGCAGCATCTCTGGGGAAGGAGAAGCCCTGCCTTGAGCCGCTGGGGCTCTGGGAACCAGGAAAGAAGGAGTAACCTCAGGCTAGACAGGGGGCTGTTGCAAGACTTCAGAAAATGTAGCTGGAGCCATTGGGTGCGCCACATCCACACGTGGCTCCGCCAGTGGATGAACTGAAGCATTTGGTGTAACAGGTCTGCCTCACAAGGACAACTTCTCTCACAGCTGTGTCCCAGTTCTCAGCCCAGGGCCACTGCTGTCCCCTCTGTTGGAGGGAGCACAGTGTGAACATAAGTCATCAATTTGGCTCTGGTTTTTCTTCACCAAGAAACCCTGGGGCCTGGAAGTACACAGCTCAGTGGTACTACACTTGGCTACCATGTGCCAAGGCGCAGGGCTCCATTCTCAACATGCAAAGAAAAAAAGGAGGAGGAAGAGAAGGCACAGTTCCTTAAACTTTTGAATGCTGAGCAGGTCACACATAAAGGCAGATACAGTATTGGTGGTGAAAATTAGAAATGCATTGTCTGCCAGGCGGGGAAGCAGTCTCCTGTCATCCCAGCACTCAGGAGGCTGAGGCAGGAGGATTACCGGGAATTCAGGGCCAGCCTGAACTGCATAGGGAGACCTTGTCTCAAAAAAAAAGGAAAATCCATTATTTTATCACAGATGTTACTCCCTCCCGAGGCTATTTCCCCTGCCAGTTGTGAGTCTTTGAAATAGGTTCGAGATTTACTGACTGAACTTTGACTGCAGCGTACCTAACACATGAAGGCTACTTTTTATGGTAAGTCCTCATGCCCAAGGTACCTGTTCGCTTGACTGCTTGTGTCCCTCCGTGGGACAGGTGGGACCTGCTGAGATTTGCTATTGTTCTGCCTGGGAAGGGAGTAGGGTGGACTGCATGAGGTTTTCGAAAGCAGATGACCTTTTGAAAAGATCTGGATTGCATAACTTGAGAAAACATACCTGATAACAGAACTCGATTTGGGTATTTGTAAGATCTCCTCAGGCGAGAAATAGCCCTTTAGTTTTACATATATACAATACATTGTAATGAGTTGAATGTCATTCTAAACACTGGACCTAATCCAGTTTCCCAAACTGCTCCTTGAAACATTTTTGACACCTGAGATGCTACCGTGCTTCCCTTATTGAGATCAAGTAAGTTTGTGAGGTGCTATGTTGGGGAGTCTTTTCTGCAGCACTTTCAGGCCCTTTTAGATGCCGATATAAGATCAGAGTCTCTAAAAGGGGAATAAAAACCTGTTCATGTGGGCGTGAGTGTGAAAGGAAGCCTCCTTTTCCCAGGGTTATCTGTGGACGTCTCCCAAGACCCATGTTTCCAAAGTGTGGACAGATGTGAGCTGCCATGCAGCCGCCCACAAACACCCATGGCAGCTCGAGTGCAACACAATCACTTCTTCCCGTATCGGTGGGAAGTGCACCAGCTAAGAGCACTGGCTGCCTCCTCCATCTCCTTATCTTGTGCCTCAGTTTCCTGCTATGTAAAACAGTGGGTGCAGTCTACTTCATGCAGCTATTATGACTGTTAATGGGACACCATGTGTATGGAGCTGATCTCACTCTGTTTCACAATTCTTTTTGTAACAGAGAAAGCAGTACAAGTTCAGAACCTTTAACAGCACCTGGCTACAATTTTATTTTATTTATTTTTGTTTTGTCTTTTTGAGACAAGTGTCTCGCTTTGCAGTTAAGGCTGACCTTGAACTCACTTTGTAGCCCAGACTAAAAGCAATCTTCCTGCCTCAGCCTCTGAGTGCTGGGATTACAGACGTGCCTGGCATACCTAGCCAGCTACAGTTTTCATGACTTTTGTTTCATTATATTTATGAATTGTCTATTTGCACTAGTGATAGCATGTTTGTTATTCAAATGAATGCATTTTTTTTGGAGTGGTGGTGTTCAGGCACCAGGAATCAAACTCACAACCTTGTGCTTGCCAGGCAAGTGCTGTAAATGAATGCATTTTAAAAGGGGCACTATTTATTTTAGTACCGGGGGTGAGCCTAGGGCCTCTCATCTGCCAAACAAGTGTTCTGCCACTGAGGCATACCCCCAGCCCTAGAAAGAAAGAGTTTAAAATATATCAGCAAGAAACAGGTAAGTGCAATTACCATATAAATATGTAAAAATCATGAAGGTATGGCAGAAACTATGAAACTGGTATGTGAATGTGTGGGTAACAAAATGGGAGGAGAAAGTTTGAGACCACGAGCGGAAGAATTTCCACTGGTTTAATGCAAACCTTGGAGAGACAGTGATCGGCCTGAGTATGTCTAAGGGATCTCAAAGCTTTTCTGCAAACTTCTCCCAGTTTTGAATTTTTTGCCCCAAATACTGGAGTATACAAAAATTATACTATAAAATTCTTGTCCTAAATTTGAAATTTAAAGTAAATTAAGCATCTTTAAATGTTTTAGTACAGAGGTGGTTTTTTTTTTTTTCATATAAATACAATTTTGAAATTCTGGGAAATTGATTTGACTTGTGAAACCTTTAACATTATTTAGGAGGCACTTGTACATTTTTCTGAATGTTTTACTGAGGTGAGACTAAAAACAGTGGGCTCACATGCTTCACTCAGAAATAAAAACAAAATCTCGCTAGCTGGTTTGGTATACATGGAGGAGAACGAATTGCTCAGCTTTACCTTATGCTCAATGCTTGAGAAAATGTTGCATGAAAGAGGTTGCATACAGGCCATGTGCACCTGTGTCGGGGGCCTTGGGATGCTGTACCCCCACAGTGTCTTCACTCCAAGGCACACCAAGGTGACAGTGAGTGGGACTTTAGTGGCCAAAAAGAGCACAGTGGAAAGTCTCCCCAGTACAGCCTAAACTGAGCAGGGAAAACTGTTTTTGTTTTTTTAAAAAAAGATATAATCATTTAAAGTCTCTGGAAATTGTTCTAACAACAGCCCATAGAGAAACTTTCCCAGAAAGGTAGTCAACCTTTCCTACTCTTAGGCTCTGTGTCCATGGATTGAGCAGTGTATCACTAACACCCGCCCCCCCAAAAAATAATAATAAGTGTACCAAGCACATGCAGACCTTTATCATTGCCTAGAGAACAACTCTTTGCTTAGCATCTACATTGCATTTGGTAATACAGATAATCCAGAGATAGTTAAAGTATACGGAAGCATGTGCATAGGTTATGTCAAAGTATTATGCCATTGTATGTAAGGGACTTGAACACTTATGCACTTTACTATCAAGGTGAATCCTGGAGCCAATCCCTAGTGGAAATTCAGGGGTGACTATACTAGAGATTGATAAGAACAGCCAGAATCAGTGGCATCTGCGCCATAACTCCTTTCCTTTCCCTATTATGCCAAGTTCTGGAAGCTTTACTTTGGGCCCATTCTTCTGAACAAATATAGCCAAGTAGGAGATTCTTTCTTCCCTCAGTTCCATTTCATGTTTGGAGGTCTGGGCTGTTGGAATTTTTGTCCGCCCCAGCTCCTTGTTGGAGAGAGACTGGCTGGGAGGACTACATCCTCCTTTTGCTTATAAGGTGGAGGCTCCATGGAGGACCAAGAATCTGGGCCTGATTACCCCTACCCAGCTCTCACAGGGCAGAGATGGCATGCCAGGAGAGGTGAGCCAAGGCACCCTCCTCAGAACCCACTTGTGGAGCTGAAGCATCATTCCCCAAAAGGGTTCTACCTCCAGGTTCAGTGTGCGGACACGTGCTTTGTTCAGGGAAAGGACAGGCCTTGAGAGGAAAGAGATCTGCAGCTGTGCCTGTGCCTGTAGAGTGTCTTCCAACACAGTTGAGACCATGGTTAAGAGCTTTAAAGGAGGCTCACAGCCAAATGACACAGGTGAAACTACATGGCAGCCTGAAATTAACCAGGGAATGAGCCCAGAAGACCAAGCAGAGCACCTCAGAGATCATAGTCGCTTCTGAACAGCAGGAAGACAGTGTAGATGCACCAGGCCGTACCCATGCAGGACCCATCCTGGTAGAATGTGGGGTGCTCCTGAAACAGTCCCCAAGTTGCACCCAGACCAGTCCAGGCCACACAGGCGCCTCCTAGCACCAAGGGCTTATTACAGCCTCCGAGCAAGCACTAGCTGGAAAATAAAATGCAGTAAGCCAGGAGCAAATCCCCGGAAGCCCGTTAACACTAAACTCCCACTCATTTCTTTTCATCTGGAATACTAAGTGCATGCCCAGGGCCGAGCCCACTCTACAGTGATGAGTGAGGGAACTCCAGGCTCCATGTCCCTAGATGAATGTAGAGCCAAAAATTGTAGTTAACGAAAGTGTGATCACAAATCCCAAGCTCCATTCACAACTAACAGTAAAAGGTAAAAGACTGACAAAGGGATTTAAGTGCAACATTTGGTCAATAATTGACTGACACAGACCCAGAGGGACCTCTAGATGTAGCTAAAAGATAAAAATAAAAACAAGGAGAAAGACCAG